GAATGATAACTCTAAGTAGGCTTTTATGATAGCCCATATTAAATAAAATTTTATTTTACAGGTGCGTTGCCTTCTTTAATTGATTTATATACACTGTAGAAAGCTTTATATCCTATAGTGTAATAGGTGTAACATTTATAATTGATTAAATATCATGCTTGTGACCATTGATATAAAGAACTTGGGTCCAAGTCTTTGGTTAAGAACAGAAACCTATTTTATCTGATTACTTTTATCAGAAAATAAGATTTAACTTACTTCTCTTAGGCTTATAAGATTTGATTCAGTAAAAAACATAGTAAGATTATTGTTAAATGCCTTTTCTGCTTTCTACAAGGGATAGAGCAAGCTATATACATAACATCATACATTTTCTGGCTGTGCTTTCGATGCTTAGGAAGGCACATTAACTCTTTCAAGCATGAGTTTTGCACTTGATCAATAAATTGAGTAACAAGTATTAACTGAGCATCCATTATGAATTATAGTTTGGAAGAGGAAGGCAGTATACCAATAATGGTGCTCCCAACCCAAAAGGACAGAAAAGATAACTCATTAAAATATGCAGGAAAACATGATTAGCCTGCTAAGAGAAATACAACTGAAGTCTAGAGTTTAGGGGGCTTTCGAGTATTATTTTATTTTAACTTTCTAGAAGAAATAGTATATAAGTTGGTCTTTGAAAGATTTGAGTATGTATAGGTGGGATAGGGCTTTCAGGCTGAGAAAATGGCATGAGGAAGAAGGTGAAGGGAAAGGGCGAGCTGAGTTTGGAGAACAACAAGTAGCACTTTTGCTAGAACATAAGGTAGAAGTGGGTCAGTAAATTATACGAGTTTAGAAAAGTAAGAATGAAAAGAACTAAATTAAAGCTACTGGAAGGTTGGGGAGAGGCCAGCATGTAAGATGGGTTTGTAGGAGAAGAGAGTCTGGCAGTGGAGAAGTAGCATTTAGTTAGAAAGCCATAAAAGAGATGAGAACAGAGAAGGAAGGATTGCAGGCAGCTCGCAGAGCCAGAGCCTTAGTTTGCCAGGTTGGCTCAGGCATCTGGAAGGTATGTGCTGTGAATGGCAGGAAGGCCTGGTTTAAACTGGAAGAGTGAATGCCCCATGAGGAGCACATCCACATTCTCGTATCAGCACAAAGAAAGGGAATCTTCCTTTGAACATGAACTTTTTGAGACTGGCCTGTGCTACAAAGGATTGCATCTCAGAGCAGCCTAAGAAAACTGGGCATCTGCCAACCGCAAATGGAGCTCAGACCTTAAAAAGCTCCCGGTTACTGCAAAGGTTGTCTCCGTGATGCCTGAATGAAGTTTAATGTACCCTGAGAGCCTGCCAGCTCTGTGGATGAGATGGCACAAAATCAATATGGGGTCCTGCCTGTGTCCTAAACTATGTACCAAGTGGGGAGAGACAAGCTTTGTGATCTACAATGTCCTCATTATCTAGATTGACTCACTAGGTATTTTCAGGTAATTTGCTTATTATGGAAACCCTCATTTGATGTGGAGAATATCATTCCAGAACACTGAATTCTTTCTCAGTGGGCCCACTTGGGGATCTTGACTCAGCCTGCATTCTCTGGAAAGTTCTGACTTGTTTGCCTTCTCATAAAAACATGTCCCCCACACCAGCCTTTGTATTCTACCCACCAGCTGTTTTCACTTCCAAAGTGGATCATTCAGAATGCCTAATGAAGAGTTCAGGTTAAAAAAAAAACACAAAAAATCATGGGGTTGTGTGACTATTCTTGATTTCCTCCAGCTTATTTTTCAGTTTATTTTCTAAGCTACTGACCTCCCGGGATTTAGAAGTGAGAAGAAGTCTTCCTTCTATACTTGCCTCCCAAGAGAGCAGGCTGGAGCATGGCTTATACCTGATTGCCATGGAGAATAAATCCTCTGGCTGACAGGGAATGAAAATTCAAAGACAGTTCTGAAGACAGAAAAGAAGCTTATGGAGGTCTCGGTGGCAACAGCTAGTTCTTCAGTGGAAATGAAGGACCATCCTTTGAACAGGGGCTGCCAGTATGTCCTATGGTTCACATATTCATCCTGCCTGTTGTCTCTGCAGGATAGTGTCAACAGGAACTTGTGGTGGGGAACGAGGAAGCTAAGGCTCTTCTCATGCTCCAAGAACATTTCTCTTTTCAAGTTTCATTAATCCTCAGATAACTTAGCTTGATAAGAAGTACCTTTGTGTGCAAAGTACCTGACATATAACAAATAAACTATCCCCCAGGCAGAACAAGAGAACTTACAGCAGAGTGAGAAGCTTCGATAATATAATGCATCTTTTTTGAGGTATAGGTGACATATCATAATGAAATGTTAAACCCTAAAATGAGTTGATAAGGGAGGTAGAGAATCTCTTGAAGGAAGTTTTGCCCAAGTATCTTTTAATATCCATTTTCTAAAATTCATGGATATGTACCAGGGCTGGAAAACTATGACCCTCAAGCCAGCTGCCCTTTTTTGTACATAAATTTTTCTTGGAAGATGACCATGCTCATTATTTTATATATTGTCCATGGCTACCTCATGCTACAAGGGCAAAGTTGAGCAGTTGTGAGATAGAATAACCCAATATAAACAAAAAGTATTATTATCTTGGTAACTGTGATAAGAGCTTATCTTAGAACTTTCTAAGAACTTTCACATCCATTGTCTCATTTGGCAGAGAAAATAATACCCTATTTTACATAAATGGAAACTGAGCTCCAAAGATACAGCCCCAATACTATGTATTATAGCTACTAACTGGTAAAGAACCAGTGATACATAGAGAAGAATTTCAGAGGCCCTAAAAATGGAAGCAATAGATGCAACTATTGACCCTGATTTTTTACTTCTCCCTGTATCTACACCAGTGGCCAGGTGATTTTGCAATTTGTCTCTCAAAAGGTGAAGTGCATCTTTCCATCATTTGAAGGTGGACTTTGACTTGCTTGGTCCAATGAAATGCTAGCAGACAAGATTCTAGCAGGGACTTGTGCTTGCACCCTGGGGCTGGCCTTGTTTTGTGCTTCTATCAATGTCAAGAGTAGACATGCCCAAGTTAGCTGGATGGTACAAAAAAGAGGAGAGACACATGGAGCAGAACCTGAGAAGCAGAGCAGCTCCAGATATTCCAGACAGAAGCACAGCTGGCTAGCTGAGTCTAACCCAGATGAGGCGATACCCAACAAACTTAGAGATTACTGGTGTTTGAAGTCACTGAGTTTTGGGATGGTTTGTTAGTCTAAATTAGAGTCGGCTAAACAGTATTTTTGTAGCAAAGGCTAGCTTATCCAAAGCACATTATATTATAATCTTATCTAATAAAAGATTAATATGAAAATTGACCATCACTCCAACATACAATATGGCTGCCCCCAGGAGGTCAAAGATGGCTGTCCCCATGTGAACACAAGATGGTTACCACAAGATAGCCAGCAGGGCAGGGCAGTTGGGAGGGACCCGGCCTACAAGGGAGGGCAGTTAGGGGTGACCAGGCCTGTTGGGGAGGGCAGTTAAGGGCAAACAGGCTGGCAGGGGAAGAGTTAGGCATCAATCAGGCTGGCAGGGAGTGGTTAGGGAGTGATCAAGCTGGCAGGCAGATGCAGTTAGGGGCAATCAGAAAGACAGACAGGCAAGCAGCTGGAAGCCAGCAGTCCTGGATTGTGAGAGGGATGTCCGACTGCCCGTTTAGACCCTATCAATCAGGCCTAAACAGGCAGTCGGACATCCCTTGAGAGGTTCCCAGATTAAAGAGAGTGCAGGATAGGCTGAGAGATACCTCCTTCCCCATGCACAAATTTTGTGTACCAGGCCTCTAGTATAAGTATAAGAAACTATTCTAGTTTCCCATGCTGATTACTTGAATTTTTTTTTATGGCAAATATTACAATATATCAAAAACATTTTTTGGTGTTTTCCTGTTTTGCTAGGTACCTTTCTACTTCCTCAACTCTGCTGGTTGGGTAATACATGATAGCTCCATTGTCCTCTCTGCTGGCATAAAGAAGAGGTATAATATCTTTGGTTCTATAGTTATGAGAAAAGGCTCCTTTGGGACACACAAGCCCCTAGAAAGCAGACTCTGGGTGCTGCAGTCTCTGGCTGATTTTCAGTACAAATTATCTCACTCATTCTCTTACTGAAAGCCTGCTATTTGCCACACCAGCGGCAGAGAAACTGCTCGGACACCTCCCATGCAAAAGTAAATTCTGATAGAGGCATCCTATGTTGTCCTTTTATTTCTCAGAATCAATGGAGCCTAACAAGGTTGGGGTGTAGGAATCTCGTGGCTTTGCAAATATATTCATTTCCTCAGCTTCATTTTTCTTTCATTCCCTACGCTTCATCCCTTCTGTTCTTATTATTTTTTATCCCACAGCATAGAATTCTCCAAGGTTTAAAAGAAAGGTTTTCTTGGCATGGAGTCAATTCAGACAGTGAGTGCAGCAACTTGGAGAGTAATCAGGGAGGATTGGGGGGCCTTGGAGCATTTGCAAAGCAGAAAAAAGTCACCCACTCCTTCCTCTCCCATAAGCTCCTCCTGTACTCTCCTGGGATCCTGCAGAATTCCAACTCATTCATCAACATGTCTTTCTATCTTAAAAAAATAAATCAACAAAGCAGGAGAGGGCTTTAAAAAGCCTTTGTAGAAACTACTTAAAGAAACAGGCTCTTTTTATTCCAGTCACATGCTCTTGAAACTAAGCACCTGTCAACACACTTAATTATTTAGATAATTAAGGCCCAAACCACATTTTGACCTGAAATATTAAAATAACTAGAGGCCTGGTGCACAAAAACTCATGCCCTGGGGGGGGGGGGAGGAGGTCTTCTCTACCCGGCCTGTGCTCTCTCACAGTCTGGGAGCCCTCAGGGGATGTCTGACTCCCCATGGGGAGCAGGCCTAAGCTGGCAGTCAGACATTCTTATTCTTAGTGCTGCCGAAGAGGAGGGAGAGGCTCCCATTACCACCACTGTGCTCACCAGTCATGAGCCAGCTTCTGGCTGAGCAGCACTCCCCTGTGGGAATGCACTGACCACCAGGGGCAGCTCCTATGTCTACCCCCTGGTGGTCAGTGTGCATCGTATCTACCAGTCGTTCCTCTGTTCAGTCGATTTGCATATTAGCCTTTTATTATATAGAATTTTAGGTCAAAGTATTTAGAAGAGAGGGTTTCCATGATACTTCATAGTGATATAGCAAAATATTGCTTTGAAGGGACAAAATCCTTCTGCTGATGCTGCCTCCAACTCAATTGTTGAACTTGTCTAGTTTTGGTTATTTAAGATGGGGCTGGGCTGCTACTCCTGAATGAAGTAAAATGGTTAATGAGAGAGTCTTCTCTCTGCTGTTGGTAGATCTCAGAAGATTTTGGCAAGTGTTCTCTTTGTCCTAGTTTTAACCCATTTCCTATCTGCTGGCTGGCATATAAGTCACAGAGTTTAGAATCAAGGCAACCACCTTGAGGAAGGCTGGTCTCAGTTCTCCTTTTTCTGTAGAAGTTGGGGACACCCAGCCCATTTCCACTTGTCTCTGTATGTATTCATGCTGAATCCTCTTATATTGTAAACTCTGAAGCCATATGCATTCTATGGCTGCAGTCGCTCCTGCAATGGATCAGGTTTCTCCTCACTTTTGAGTCTGGGGAGCTTTGCGGGTCAAACTGGGAGAAGCTTGGATATGACATACTAGTTACTGTGTGTGGTCACCAGAACTTGCACAGCTGATGCTCAGCTTAAGGAAAATATGACCAGAGATATCCCCACTGCAGTATTCAAGATGGATTGGAACACGAGAGACCAAAGGCAGAGAAGGTGGCTAGGGTGCAGTTACTGCGATTGAGGCTGATGTTCTCCGGTGGATTTCAGCCACCGCTGTAACCACCAGGATTTCATTATCAAATATTTTATTTCACCCGTGGAGATTCTCAGTGCACAGGAACACATTAAACTCTGTGAGAAGTTCTGCAACAAACACTTGAAACTATGTTTAACACAGTGTTTCCAAAACATGACTGACTATAGAACCATCCTTATGCATAGCACCTATTTTAAAAATATATTTTTATTGATTTCAGATAGGAAGGGAGAGGGAGAGAGAGGTAGGAAACATCAATGATGAGAGAAGATCATTGATCGGCTGCCTCCTGCTGAGGATCAAGCCTGCAACATGTCCCTTGACTTGCACCTGGAATCAAACCTGGAACCCTTTATTCCCGAGGCTGACACTATCCACTGAGCTAAACCAAGTATGGCAGCACTGGTTCTTGATAGAGGATGGAAGAAATGATCAGGGCCAGATGTGAAAAGAAACAGTTTTAAGGTCCAATCACCTCTATCGTTTCAAGTATGGAAAGGAAGAGAATAGGACAGATACTGGCAGTAATAAAGGGAATGGAGGTGGTAAAGGTGATATCAATTTTTGACATGTTGTTTTGATAAGAATGTGAATGACTGAATAAATTCTAAATTTTAATCTTTTATATCCACTCCATTAATCCAAATTAAAAATAACAAACCAGGGCCCAGATGTAATTTATTCAGAGGTTCATAATATTGCTTGGACAGAAAGACTCCCTATGGAATATTTTAATTGGCTCAGCCAAAATTTTACTATATTTTATTCCATTTCCAATTTAGTAGTCTGACAGAATCATAGTAAGTCAAGTATTATAATTAAAAAGAGAGAGAGAGAATTGCCAGTTTTCTCCTCAGCTGGGACGGATGAGATATTGGTTATTTTTAACTTCGACTGAGAAGGCTTTACTCACCCACTGCTAGAGGCCTCCGAGCCACTCCTGCCCGGGGCAGGTGTACACACTCACTCAGGCTGTGTCCACCATCACTCTCAACACGGCTGCTCTTCCTTTGCAGAACCTTCCAGAGAAAAATGGCAGACTCCTCTAGAACCTTCCTAGGACATGCCTACTTTCCCCCCACTTATTGCTGCCCATCAAGTCATTCTTATTTCTGTTGAGGGGCATTCCAGATTTATCCTTAGGCTCCAGCCCCACTCTAGCAGCTAAACACATCTTCTACTCAGTTGAGAAGACCAAACTAATCAAATATGCAGTCCCCATAACCAACTAGACCCCTTCCTTCACACATATATGCCTTTACAAACACCTTTTTATTCTTCCCTCTAGTTTCAGACATTGTGGCCTTGTTCCCATCATTCCCTTCTAGTGCTTTTCATTTCTAATTTTCCATAGAATTCATCCTCTGGGCCTTCTTATGGGTCAGCTCTCCTGTGTGACCTTGAGCAAAGTACTTCTCAGCTCCCAACCTCAGTTTCCATAATGAGTCCCTCTTTGAGGGATATTCTAAGAATTGAGTAGTACTGTATACAAGCATCCTGTACAGTGTCTGAGACATGCAAAACACTGATAGCTACTCTTATGCTTAGTGCTTCCATTTTAATTTTTTTAAGAATCAATTTTATTGGGGCACAATGTACATAAAGTAAAATGCACAATTTTTAAGTATATGGTTTGGTGAGGTTTTGTCAGTATATGCACCCTTGTTACCACCATCCCAATCAAAACAGAACATGGCCATTACTCCAGAGAGTTCTTTCCTGTCCCTTCACAGTCAATTCTCCATGCCTGCTGTGCTGGATTAATGCCTATCTGATTGCTATCACTTTTAAGTTGCTTTACCTGTTTTAGAATTTCATATAACTGGGATTATTCAGTATATACTTTTTGTGTTGGGTTCCTTTTGCTCAGCACAATTTTAAAATTTCTTTCTTGTTGTTGAATGTAACTATTGTTCATTCTTTGTACTGCTGAGTATTTACTTCATTGTATGAATGTACACTGTTTGTTTTGTGTGAATATATATATATATATATATATATATATATATATATATATATATTATCCTTTCAATGTTGATGGGCATTTGGGGTGTCCCACTATTTTCTAGAGGCAATAAAGCTGTTAGAACAGTCATTTATGAAGGTTTTCATGAAGAAATATATGGTGTATATATTTTTCTCTTAGAGAAATACCTAAGAATAGTTATTGGATCAAATGATTAGTGTAGGTTTATTTTTTAAAGAAACTGCCAAATTGTGTTCTGAAGTGGTTGTGCCATTTTACACTCCAAACAGCAAAGTATGATCATTCCAGTTGTTCTACAACCATGGTACATTTGGTCTTATCAGTATTAATTTGAACATGTCCAATGACATGGCATCTGACTGTGGTCTTAATACTCATTTCTCTGGTATCTAGCAATGTTCAGCCTCCTCATGTGCTTCCTGGCCATTTGTGTATCTTCTTCTCTGAAGTATTGGCAAACATTTCCATAAATTAGTTGCTTGTCTTATTATTAGTAGTGAGTTAGACTTTTATTTAATACTAGTAGCCCTGCACACAAATCCCTGAGCCAGTAGCTCTCCAGTAGCTCACTGCTGTCCTCAGGTAGCTCTCTGCCCACTGCCTTGCTGCCCTGCCCTCCTGTAGCTTCCCCCACCCCCTCTACCCCCACACCCCCTCAGAGTTCGCTTCCCTTCCCCCTCCTGTAGTTCTCCGGCACCTGCTTGCAGCCAGTAGCCTGCTGCTGCACTCCAGTAGCTCTCTGACCATTGCCCCACCCTCCTATAGTTTCCCTCTCCACCCCCCCTCCCCCAGACCCCCTCATAGCTTGCTGCCCCACCCTCCTGTGATCCATGATTTGGTCATTATGTGGTTGGTCATTATACTTCATGGCATAATGATCATTTGCATATTATATCTTCATTATATAGAACTAGAGGCCCAGTGTATGAAATTTGTGAAGTGTCTCTCAGCCTGGCCTGCACACTCTCCAATCTGGGACCCCTTGGGGGATGTCAGACTGCCAATTTAAATCAGCAATCAGACATCCCTCTCACAATCCGGGACTGCAGCCCCTAACCACTACCCTGCAGGCTTGATTGACACCTAATTGCTTCCCTGCTAGCCCAATTGTCCCCAACTGCCATCCCTGGCAGGCCTGGTTGCCACAAACTGCCATCCCCTGCAAACCAGGTTACCCCCAACCGCCCTCTCCTGCCGACATGATCTCATCCCCAACTACCCTCCCTTGCCTGTCTAGTTGCCCTTAACTGCCCTCCCCTGAAGGCCTAATCCTCCCCAACTTCCCTTCCCTGTAGGCCTAGTCATTCCCAACTGCCCTCCCTGCAGGCTTGGTTGCTCCCAACTGTCCTCCCCTGCAGGTCTGGTCCCTCCCAACTGCCCTTCCCTGCTGGCCTGATCACCCACAACTACCCTCCTCTGCTCTCCATCTTGTGGCAGCCATCTTGTGTATTGGAGTGATGGTCAATTTGCATATTACCTCTTTATTATATAGGATATATACAAGCATTCCATTTATCACTTCCTAGGATTTTCTAAGATCTTGGGGAACCCAGTTAAACAAACTCTGTCTGATGCTAATGTATATCACTTGGACTCTCAAGATAACTAAAATTTGGAAAATGAAATATACACTGAGAGATGGAATTTTAATAGAAACTGGTTGGCTAGGAAGTCATTTGAATAAGTCACTAATAGTTTGACTCCACTTTAGACATTAAAAACCAGAAACAAAACAAAAGCTTAAAATTAAAAAAAAAAAGTTTTTGTTGTTAATCCTCACTTGAAGTTATCTTTTTCATTACTTTTCAGAGAGAGTGGAAGGGGGAAGGAGGAAAGAGAGCGAGAAAAGAGAGCAAGAGTGAGAGTGAGCAAGAGAGAGAGAGAGAGAGAGAGAGAGAGAGAGAGAGAGAGAGAGAGAGAGAGAGAGAGAGAAAGAGAAAGGTGAGAGAGACACATTGACTGGTTGCCTTCCATTCTCACCCCAATGGAGTTTGGGGGGTGGAAGGAGTGAACCCAAAGCTGAGGTATGTGCCCTTGACTGGAAATTGAACCTGTGACCCTTTGGTGCCCAGGCCAACACACTAACCACTTGGCAACACTGGCTAGGGCCAAAAGCTCGAATTTTGGTCTATAGGTTTGTATGTGTGTTCATGTCCATCTTTAGCAAATA